TCACAATAAATGAGCCAGTGTTTCAGAGCTTTCACAGCTATTTTTTAAAAACTTTTCTGTAAATAAAGTAGCCACTCTATGAAAGAACTTCAACAGCCTACAGCAAAGACTAAATAACAAAGTCTGTTATCAAAGGGAATATAAAATGTGGAGAATACTTGCTCAGGAAGAGCTTTTATCACCGCCAACAAAAGATACCAGTGAAGGCTCCCATGAGAGGACATTACAGGTGATCCTCAGGGAGCACAGAACTGGGTCGCTTCCATTTTCTCACTGGCCCTAATGACAGACCTCGGGGTTAATGAAAAGCAGGGAATGGTGGCGGGAAAGAAAATTGTAGGCTTTGGTCTGTTCTCAGATATAAGCACGGGTTCTTAAACATTTTCCACCTTGGAGGAATAACAATACATTTAGTCTCACTGAGGAGACCAGAATTAGCAAGACACATTAGTGTTGCTAACAAACATAAAAGGCTGCAATGAACTTGCAATGTAATACAATTAGTAAGGCTTCCTTTCATTTGCTCGAAACACTTTGTTTCACTTTATAATGGTCAAACTGTCTGTTGTTTTACTATAAGCAGAGTCATCTTAGCACAAGATGAAACTTTGAGGAATGTGACAGGGAAAAATAGAGACAGGTCAGCACATTTACAGTTTTTAAAAAAGCCCTACTGCAGACAATTTTGTAAATGCCCGATTTAATTTTACAAATTGTGTGATGTGATGTTGAAAAATGTGTGGTGAAGACATTCAAGGTCAAAATCCAAACAAACCGAGGAAAAGAAGTGAAGATAAGTATAGTGCGTGCAAAAGATAAACTCAATGGGGTTAGAAGGTGAAGCTTAACTTCTTGAGGACAAAGAAAGAAACATTTAGAGAGCTACTATGAGACTGTGACACAATATTTCCCCAGTTAGTTAGCTACAAGCTGTTTCTTTGTAAATAAATTACTTATTATCGGAACATGTTTTAGCTTTGAAGTTGAAAATGGCTAAGTCCATCATTGTTTGTGACACAAGACATCTTTGTTTAAAATATTATGTAGTGTTATAATGTGATGCACAGTCAAGTTCTCTATCACCAATGGTACAAGTAAACAATTGTTATAGGGAATGTGTTATGCAGACAAAATGTGTAAACTCTGACATCCTCGAGTCAAATATTGGCTCTACCTTTTTCAAGCCAAGCGCAAACTAGATTAAAATCTGTGCAACTCTAGATCATTAAGATCATTGTGTTGGTGTGTAGCAGGTTTGTGCTGGGTTAGTGCCCCTCCCACATACAAAGCAAACAATGAGAGGCAATAAAGCAAATCACCATTAGTGACAGTCTCTGGCTAGGACAAACACACACCCATACATTTTCTTTTATTCACACCAGGAGATCATGAGGAAGTTTGACACCACTCCAACCCAACAATGTAGTGGTTTTTAAATTAGAGCCAAGGATCTGTGAATGATCTGCACTGCTACATGACGAATGGCAGGACATCAGAGAGCACTACATCTATGGGTCTGAAAAAAAGTCAAGCTGCTTGCCTAATGAAATTTAGATTTATTATTAGAAATCCTATATGCCTGTAAACACTTTAATTGTGGTACGATGTTAAAATCGTTTTTCCCAAAATGTTTGCCGTGTCACTGATGAGTTTGTAGCACAACTCAACTGCCCTGTACAGAACGTCTCCTTGCCCATTTCCCTCTCTACTTCCTCGGGGTGTGTTTGATGGACTGATGTTATTATCTCTACCACCTTCATCCCTCCGTCTTCAAAGGCGGAAGATGACTGTATCTCTCAGGCTTTAATGTGCTTAAGAGACGCCTCGGGCACTGTACTGCTCCACTCCCCGTCTGAGCGAAGCTCCGCGGGAAAAAAGGGACAGCCTTGTGTGTACAGAGATGAAATAACCATATTCCATATTCCTCCCAACATTGTTGGTGTTTACACTGAAGATAGATGCCCTGAATTGTCTGAAATAAATCTAACTCTGTACTGTATGTGGATGCAGTAAGCTGACAAGGGAAGTTCAATAAATGTCAATGAACACATCAAATCTGGACTGTAAATCACAATGTGCTCATTTGGATTGATTTATACTGGGAAATACCATATAACACTGGAAAAGGCATGTGAATGTGTTACTGTGTGAATGTGATCAGGGCTTCCCCGAAATAAAGAGAACTGCTTATAATAAACTTCCCCCTGAATAAATAAAGTTTAAAAAAGGCATTTTCAAGTTCATGCCATGTTTGATGTCTCTCTGAAACATTTCCTGTAATATCGGTCTTTTTCAGTCTTTTTTTTCTTCCGCAGAACAACAAACAGTGGTTTATTTGTTCAGTCCGCTCAAGCAGAGCGTTATTACAAACTCACCGAGTCATTCTCATGCCCTGCGTCTGGATGAAATACCAGAACCACTCCACTGGAATTCCTCGATTCCCCGTACTGACTCCCACTGCTTTGCATTGTTTTGTGTGCATGTGTGTGCGTCTGTGTGTGTGTCTACTGTATGCGCACACCACTATAGCCTCTGTTTCCAGCTCCCACATGATGACATTGTTGTCATAGCCACGTCAAGAGAGCGAGCCGCAGACGAGCAAACCGAGCACTTGACTGGATTCAATTATAAGTAATATGCAGTTGTTGTGCAGATCACAAAAGAACAAATAACACATGTTAATTGTAAAAACATTGTTTTAAAGTAACAACCAACAAAACACATCCATTCCTGTGCAACACTTTAGGATTAGCTTACAACGAAGAAGACTACAAATCAATATGGTCAACTCTCAAAGTTGGTAAAGGGTAACTTAACTTGTTCTTTTAATTGTGGCCCTTTTTGCCATGTTTGAAAGATCCCAAAAGTTAGTCTCAATAGAGTAGCTAATCTAGGGGGCATCTTTCTCATGATTTTAAATTGTATTTAGGGAGAAGTCGTATGTAAAATTCCAGTTTGCAGTATTATATAAACGCTTTAGGAGGCTCATGATACTTCCACTTGTAGGATGTTATCCCGGAGTCTCATTTTACATACACATAGTCATATTGACGTTAATAAAATGTAAAGAAAATAAGGCAATATTCCTCTTAGTCAAGATTGTGTAACACTATACTGGAGTACATTTAATTGTGTTGAATATTATAAGTGGATAATATTATACAAGAAACAATTGAACTTCAAATGAGTGTTTCTCTCCATGTTCATGATGGTGTAACATTGTAACACTGATGGCTTTAGATTCTTACATATACTGACAAGTGTGGTTTTCTTCTTTTCATAGAAACCCACTTTCTCCTGCTGCTTCCCACTTTAGCCTGCTCACAGACTATTTAGCAGAGTACAAGAGAGGTGAAGGTTGAGCTCATCTTCTAAGTTATCTTGCACGGGGTGTGTGGACACAAGTGTGGCTGATAACACACAATATCAAATCCTAAAGCAGACATGTTGGCTGTGCAGGTCTATTCACAAAGCTATTCAAAGTTTCTTCACCATCATTTCTATTTCTACTCCACACAGAGCTGTATAACTAAAAGCTTCTCAGTCCACTGAGAGCTGTATAACTAAATGGCTTCTGCGATTTCCACCCACAGCCACACATATTTAACGTTGTGTGCATTGACTCACAGCAACTGAAAGCTTTGTGATTCAACCATCAAACTTCATGGACTTTGCTCGAATACTGATTTACCGAAGAAACTCTTCTGTCTTAACTATCAGCCCTTCATCCGGTTCAAGCCCCGAAAGAGTCAATATGCATTTTTAATGATCTACCAGGTTCTTAATTATTTATCATTCAGTGAATTTGCTGCCCGCTGGCCAGTGGTTTATGGTCTGAGCTTCTATTTCCACCTGACCAATAGATGACACTGACGCTGATGGGGAAACAGAGGTGTGACTGATAAATGAATTACCTCAATGTATACCTTAGATGTTGATTTAGAGCAATTTTTCATTGATGTTGAAAACTATTTAAAGGGAGGTGCCCATGGACAGACATGAGGCAGATACTATGTGAAGTAAAACAGACAGGTAAGTGTGCATTTTAAAATCCAAATTGCTTGATTTCTTGTATAGTAAACAGGTTTTTAGATTCAGTGTGACTTACACTACAAAGGGATATCCTTATCTCTGATATCTGTTCAGAAATATTTTCTTCTTTTTTTTTAAACACAACTCTTTAGAAATGTTGAGAGAATCAGTACAGTACGTCCTGAGAAGTTTTCTTTCCCATCAAAGAACTCCATTGAGAGTTGTCTGTGCATCCTTAGTTCCTTTTAAACAGGGATGACTGGCAATAGCTAGTACAGCATTGTTTTAATGGTGGCAATTTGATTAAAAACTAAATAAATATAGGCCAAACAAACAGGGGCACAACTTAGTTTACATTTGAGTCTAAATTAATCAAACTGTTATAGATAATTAGTCATTCAGATCGTATGGCAACACTTTCTTGTACAATTTGCACAATACATTGGCCCACATACAGAAAACGCCACAGAGGAAATCACACAACCCAAATACTAGGAGGCATGTTGGCAATCACTCACAAAACCTTCTTATAAATGAAAAAATATGAAACAGGAAAAAAAGCTCCCTGATGCTGGTTCCACTTAAAGAGAATGTGAAGAAAAGACAACAATGCTTTTTGAAAATCTTCTATAACAACATAAAAACAATGCCCAGTCCTCAGACTAAATGGAAAAAGAGCTTATAGAGTGTTTATTATTTTTCTCACTATCTCTCTAACTTAAATTGTATGAAATTAAACTCAAAATCAAAGTATAGCTGAAAGACATTACAGTGAAGTGATGCTTAATGTGACTGAAATAACGATCTCCTTTCAAGTGCTCAATAAAAAAGAGAGATGAAAAGAGGAAGGTTTTGATGTTCTTAAATGCAACCTGTACATTCCAAGAGCAGGAACATGGGGATAAATAGACAGACACAGATTTCCCCTTAATGAAGAAGAAGCTTGAAAGCAGCCGCAGTTGACTCACCAAGACTCTGTTCTCCGTCTTGTCTCCTTTGATCTCCAGTTTGACTCTCCTCCTCAGTGACAGCTTCACCTTCCTCCCCACTGCATCCCTCACACTCTCTACACAGGGAAGACGAGAGAGCAGATAACATAATGAGAGACTCACATTTGGAAATACTTGCATACCTGACCTGTGCATTGAATTAGAAGTAAAATAAAACAACTGGCAAGAGGTTTATCTAAACACTCATTTTATTTGCCTTTGATAGCTCCTAAAAAGTATGTTTACAACCCTAACTAACTGGTTTATTGATCAGAACTGGGTCAGACACCTCTCCATACTTCTCACTCCTCCGCCACACAGGGGCTGGTTTAGTCTGTGAACATGTGTCTGAGACTGAGAGGGATTCTGTGTGTGTGCGTCTGTGCTGGCTTCCTCGCCTACAGGCTTCCACAAACCATCATCTGATCAAAGTGAAACTAATAATAAGGCAAAGCGCAAATCTGCCAACCTTTCTAAACACTCTACATGGAAAATGTCCTGCTGAAGCATTTCCTAAAATACAGTCTTACTGCAGACACCTAATGAAATGAAATGCTTTAATTAGACCGGATAGTTTTCAATCCCAGGCAGAAAAAAAAAAACTCCAGACTCTCATATATCATTTTTTAAAATGAATTCCATGTTCTGCTCATTTATTAAAACTGTGAAAGGAGTGGGCATTTACTAGCCGGCTGTCTGGTGGTTTGCATAAGACAGATAAGGCATGTAAATGTGGTCACACTGGCAGGAATTTCAGTAGGGACTCGTGTGGAAGGTGGGGAAATGGGAGACCTATGACCTTGTAAAACACTCAAACAAACAATTTACAAGTCCATAAAATCAGTCTCTCATTTATTGACCCACAGCTAACCCAAAATTGTTAATTGATGTGATGAGATCACAAATCAGATTTGTGGTGTTCATCTCTTGAGAGTTGCAATTGGAAAACATTTTGGAGATGTTCAGGATATAAACTACAGAGGAGGATAAAAAACAGAAGAAACAATTGTTCATAATGTAACAACATTTCTATTGTTAGTGATTTATTATTCATGCGAATAAATCATAAACTTATTTTAGGATCTTTTATTTAATGCCATCTAAAAACTGCTTAATTGTGAGCAGATTCAATAACATACACCTCACCAAATTGTCCATGAGCTGTGCTTTGCTATTCTTCATCCCCTTCTTAAATTCAACTTCCTTTTCCTCAAAGGTCTGTCCCACAAACAGATGACACAGTAACCTTGTTTTGACACAGCATGACAGCCCTAGCTGCTAGAACTTCAACTGAACAGCCTGCTGAACACTGGTATGTTACCTGAAGGCATCGCTTTGCCTGATCACTCAAGGGTACCAGACATCATTCAAAAATATTTGCCAAGTTTGTTTCTCCCTTTGTCTTCTGCTTTCATAAGTGTTTGAATAAATGTGAGTAAAATATTGTCTCGGCATACAAACACAGTTTCTGAAGGTTAGATCCTCTAAATGTTCTGTAACTCAGTCTATGGTGTTTCTTTCTGCAGCATTACTCTGAACTGCGTTGCAGATACTGGATGCCAACAGTGATTTTGAATGCTGCTGAATCACCGGCACCAGCATATGTTTCAAACAATGGCTGGTTACATACTCATCCAGACAACACCACATGGTATGTGATACATGACCATGACATACTGAATTCCTAAGTGGGCTGTTAAGTGCACAGTGTTAGGAAAATTGGTGAAGCTAGAATCAGGAAAAGTCTTGAACTTTCTCACTCTATGTTGAGTGGATGTCGGAAATCTGTGTTTCTAGTCCTGGATAAAGTGAGAAAAAACAAAGAATGTTTCCTATCTATACAGGAATTCAGTATGTCAGCAGACTAACCATATTATATAAAACTGAAGCATTGTTATTTATGGGAAAGGTGAATAAAATGATGAATCAGACATATGGAATGTTTCTATCGATAATGTTTACTGGATAAAATGATATTAAGCTACATAACCGTCAAACATTGATGTTAAATCCTAAGCAAAGGGACACAATGTTGTCCTCTAGCTTCTGTAAGATAACTATTGTAGGTGCTGAAAAAACAGACTGGATGACAAAAAAACATGATAGTTGGGTGAGAGTACAGGGATACAAAACATATAAATAATCAAATGCATGTATCACCAACGGAATACATGACATAGCATTTTCCACCAAGCCTTATCTACATTCTGCACTATTTATTTCTCTTTAAGAAATATATGGAGCCAGATGAACATTGTATGCTTGTGAGAGAGAGAAAAAGCTTGTGCTTGTCCAACATTGCACTGAGGTGTCAAAAACGGAGCTACTTGCCAAACAAAGAGACCCTGAGCTTGAGCCAAACAGTCAGCAGGATTCTAAAAGGTCCACAATCAGAACAAATAAAGCATAAGAAACCTGGCAGACTTTAGCCAAGAGGACAGACCACTAAGGCTAAAGTATGTGAGAGTGGACCAAGGTTACTGTGGAAATAAACGTGCAACTTATGTGGTAAGACCAGCTGGCCACTCACATATAAACTATTTAGCTTTTCTTCCAAATATAGGCTCCACACTGCATCAACAGTACATCCACCTCGATCAACAACAGCTCAGCTACATGTTTACACAGCTTCAAGCTATACTGTAGCCAAACATAATGGATTAATAGTGTATAAAGTCAGATTTTGACTCTTTATGAAATGCTTTTTTAATCACAACGTATATTTTGGCAAGATACTTAACGTTAAAATATAGCGTTGCTATTGTGTCTCAGCCACAGTAAGTCTGGCTGTTCTGTATGAATGGGATATATTATATTGCATCAGTTCAGTAAGGACAGTACAGGAGTACACATGCACACTGTGAGTCAGGAATATGAGAAAGGCAGTATCAGAGATTGTTGCAGCCTGGACACATGGCTACTACAAATGATCAATTCTTACCCAGAAGCTCTTTGGGGACCTCCGACACTTCCTCGCTCATTTTGATGAAGATAATAATCCCAAAACAACGAAGAGCGTTCAGTCAACACATGGAGAATACTCCAATTCTGAGGAAACAAGGAGCGAGAGACAGAAGTGTCAGGTGCTGCCGCCGCCGGTGCAGTTCTCCCGGTTACATGCTCCTCTCGTCTCGCGGTGTCCGGACAATGTAATCGCGTTTATCCCGGCGCATGTCCTCTCGGTTTAAACAGGGTTCACGGGTTGTATGTTGGAGAAAGAGTCAGTCCGCTAAGGTCCCTTTAAAATCATGTTGAAACGAGGCACATTGTGCGCTTCGGACAGATGAAAAGAGCAGCGTCCGCGCACATCCTCTGTGGCCGTGGCCCTAACGTAAAGCGGTCGGTAATACAACAGCCGAGCAGTCAATAGTGGGAACCGGGGCCCCTCCCCACGAGGTGATGCGACAGCCAGGGAGCCGATGCGATGCCGGGGCGGTGTGGCGTGGCACGAAGGGGCGGTGGTGGTGGTGTCAGCCAGATATTAATGAGACGGCTGCAATGGTGGTGCCCAAACTGCGAACCAGGGACCTCTAGCGGTCCTTGGCGTTGTCTCGTGGCGACCTAATCCCATGCTGCAGCACAGGAGGTGGCTGTACATAACCAGTACTATTCCCAGTGGATTATATAGCCATAGTATGGGCTATTCATACAGGTTTAAAGCTAATTTATAATAATGTCACTTTGAAATCAGACTAGGAGTAAAATGCACTCCAAATCCATGTAGCGATATTATGGGTAATTTAAAGTGTTTTTGCAGGGATCTCTTTTCATTAACATTAACTCCTATTATTGTCATTATTATTTCAACAAAAAAATCAGATTTATAATACTGTACTTGTTTGGGCATTGCAGTGTCTATTTTGATCCTGAAACACGGAAAGTTAACATGCGTATATAATAGAATGGAAATATATCGCGCTTCATCATGTCTCATATTGTTTCAGACATTTCATTGTATATGCAAACGTTTTAGTCGACAATGACCAGAGTTAAAGAGAGAGGAGGTTGACACCTTGTGGTCATTCAGTTCAAATACAGCCAGGCTCAGATTAGGCGACAACATACCGTAAACTTTATTTAGCTGTTACACAACAGTTTGATATCACATAATTTTTAGAGAACGTATCATACATGTCTAATATAACACTAATTTAAGATAAAGTTACATTTCGTATCAAAAATAAGTTATTATGTAACTCTTGAATTTCACATGTTTCCATATTTTACACATCTCTCAATTTTGAACATTTATTCACCTTTTCCTCCTTATAAATCTGAAGTTAACAGTCTGACCTACGTTTAAACATAAAAAAACCCAGATAAACATCACTAGTTCAGTGCAGTAATCTTAATGAAAAAAAACTTGTTTTCAAATTAGGCAAAAGGCCAAATACAATTAAGAGGTATTTGTGCTACGTGTGCTGTATACACCATATACTGTCAGTCTACATCTCAACATCTATAAATGGTGAAGTACAGTTTGGGCTCTGCTGTTTAATCTTATCGACTACCATCTCTAGGTTTTCTTTCATGTGGCAGAGCTTTGAAGCCTTCAGCATCAGTGGCAATGTTTTCAGCTGCTCCTCTGGAGCCTGAGCCAGCCACGTTAGGATTTGAACCATGAGAGGTCCTCTCTCTTTGGTTCGAGTCGTGCCGCTGAGATGCACCCCCTCTTCTGATTTATGAATGTAGCTGTTGGAGGGAGATGATGGTTTCGAATTATAGGGAATAGTGGAAAGGAAGTGAAACAAGGAAAATGTACAGAGGAGCAGTGTGTGGGTTGACTAGGCTCACCTGGCAATAAATAACTTCATTTTTGCCACGCGCATCCTCTGCCTGCTGAAGAATTCTGAGACGAATGTCCTGAGTGTCTCACCTGAGAAAGAATGTCTGAGTTTAAAATCCAATTTCTTTATCGTTTGCATACACAAAAAGACAAATAATCTTGAAGAATTTAAATTATTTTAAATAATATTATATTTCACTGCTGTGCTGAGTACATACCTCCATTTGAAAGATATTCGCAGGACCCACACAATGTGTCGTGGTTATTTGAGCCGGGAAGGAGTGAAATCTGTCCGCTTGCGCATTCCTGGTGTTTTACGCACGACTCCAGCGCAGAAGATGATTTGGAGAAGTAGCCATCGGAACACTTTTCACAAACAGTGTCTATTTGTGACGTACCTACAGATAACAAGAATGCATTTTGGCTCAAAACAATGTTGAGATTTACGATGAAATCATGTTTGGGTGGGTGTATGTTAACTTTCAGCATAAAAACATATTGAAAGCCAATCGTTACAAAGTAAAATAAGAAATGATCGTTTCTCTGTTACATACCCTGAGTTTTAACACCGTTTCCGCGCCCGCACTCTGAGTGTGTCCAACAGAACTCATTGGTCATGTAGAAGCCCTGTTTGCACCGACAGACCCTGTTGGTGGTCGCAGTGCACTCCGTCTCCACCTCCTGGTTCTCCATGCAGTAGTTGTTGCAGTAAAGACATCGGGGCAGGTAGTTCCATAACTCGGTATAGTGGCGGCTTCTGCACGGTGCGCACACGGTGGGCGTGGTGGGGGTGCAGTACGCAGTCATGTGCGTGCCGGGTGGGCACTTGTCACAGATGAGGGTTTCTCTGGTGGATGGGTCTCGGTGGTTAAAAGTGGGGGGAACGGATTCCACCACCGCGACACCTTGGAGGACCCCAGAGAGCAGGAAGAGCGCAGGTAAAAGGAGCTGAGGAGAGGATTGTGATTATGGTTAGTTACTGTATGCAGGCTTTCTCTAATACTGTTTTTTATTAATAATTCAACAACAGTGTCTTTAATACAGTTTATTTCAATTAGCCTCTTTATTATGTACAACTAGTGCCATTAATCTTTACCTTTTCCTTGAAGACAGTACACATTACACCAGAGACATTCAAATAATGGTATAATGTGACACGATTTTTTGTTTTTACATATTTCTTACAGCTTCATCAAACTCATCAGTAATAGTCTTGATATATATTTGCAATTGTGTTTAGTTGTACTCACTTAATTAACTTATTTCACTTTGAATTCCTTAATTGGAAAGGAATCAGTGTATGTAATTTAAATTGTATTGGAATGTACCCAGATCTTTCTAACTTTATTTCATTATTGCACTGCAGCAGACAACATTTGACAGCAGCAGCATTTGTCAAACAATTATTTATTTCATAAAATAAGTTGAGTACATAGGATTTAATTCTCCTATTTCTCGTAAGGAATCCTGTTCATAACCCTTAAGAGTACTGACTTGTTAGGTCACTAACTGTTAAAAAACACTTTAGATAAATATACATTAGGACTTGTGCTAAAAGCTCCTGATCAGAGTGATAACGTTTTGTCCATTTTTCCATTTTTCCAAATTTCAAAAGAGACTTTTCCAAATAAAAAGCCACACACATTTATCAATTCACTCCAATAGGATATTAAATTACTTTCTGATTATCCAGTATTTTGTTGGTTCACCTGAGAATTTGTATAAAACCTTAAAAAATATTGGTCACAATCTCGACTGCTACATCTAATAATCATACTTTTTTCTATATTACTTTCATCCCACATACACCAAAGTATAATCCTTAATCTCTGTCTTTGCTAGATTTGATCATTTTACACTACAGAATACTCACCATGTTGATGATGTGCAGGTCGCTGCTTCTGTAGAAGAGGATCAGTGCCATTTATACAGTCCTCCTATAGGACATTTATGTGGGCGTGTGTTTTGCAGACAATGAGTTATAACTTTTGGAAAGGTCAAACTACTTCCGTCATGTAAATTGAATTATGGACACGGCAGTGGCTTTAGGAAGTATTCATTTAGGGTTTTTGGTAATTGGCCAACATGTAACTTTTTCTTTGAATCCATTACAGGCTGTTCCTGGTTCCGTTGTATGTGACAAAAGACTGATATCACTCTTCATAACCAGGAATTAGAAATTACTGGAAATCCTCACTCAGATGTCTCGCTGGCCTTAGTCTCTATAGTCAGTCAATATAATTACAGGATATCTAAATTACAATCAAACAATAATAAGTTACATATTGGGATACCAGCAATACAAATTAAAAAGTAAACCTGTTATGATATACAGTACCACATGTATAATCTACAGTCATTTCCAAAGTCTTTTATAAATGGAATGGTGTATCTTAAAATTTCATTTTTTTTGTGCAGTAATTGAGCTATATATCTATATTTATATAGATATGATATTTATATAGATATGATATATTGTAAAGGTGATATTGTTTTAACATATAGCTCATACGTGAAAACAATGTCTTAAAATAATATATCTAAAAACTTGAAAAGCAACTTGAGGGGAGAGCAACCCGAAAAGACGTCATTCTAAAATGTCCTTGTGACGTCATCAGGTAATATTTGAGTTAAACCTAAAATGTGTTTTTTGATGATCCAAGCTGGTTGTTGAATGTGTTATAATGTGGCAATAACCTTTATCCTTCTCTCTTTGTAAAATGTCCCCTTTGAATGAGTCACTACACACGTGTTGAGTAAGCAATGTGCAGTGCAATTTAGTAAATCAAAGTAGATTACTTTTAAATAGTGTGATGAGTCAAAAGTGTGTCCGTGACTCAGTTCTCACCCTATTTCCACAGAATATGAGAACACGCTACAACAATGACATGTTTGTAATGAATATTACACTGCAAGCAGGTTATTGGCCAAATTGAGTAGAAGAAAAAGCACGTTACACTTCCATCAAATTGCCCCATACTGACACTCTATTCAGAAAATATGTTTCTTTGGAATGTGTGAGGTTTCCAGCACTTCCATCAGTATCCTGCTATCATATTGGCTTTAAAATTTGATCTTTCTTTATCCATAGAGACGTACGTGTGTGTGTGTGTGTGTGTGTGTGTGTGTGTGTGTGTGTGTGTGTGTGTGTGTGTGTGTGTGTGTGTGTGTGTGTGTGTGTGTGTGTGTGTGTATCTAAGAAAAATAGACCTACCACTGATGAAATAATTTGGCACGCTAAAGCTTCCATATGTACATTTCTATAATTATGTTTAAATAAATATATAGAAACTTTGTGGGCAGGCCAGCTTTGGTTGTATTGTCAATCTGCTCTTTATGGTCCAAATGAAGGTCCTGCATCTGTCCAGGCAGAAAGCCAATCTTAAATTGCAATGATTTGTCGGGCACTCAGTGATCAAGGCCACTCCCAGGACCAATTCAGTTACTAATTTATGAAGAAAAAAGCCTTTCTACAAAGTGATTTTATTCAAATCATTTGACATTAGTGTTCACAAGTTACACAAGCTTAAAATGGACAGGCATATATACAATAAAGGTCATAATAATATAAAAGTGATAAAAACAATATATATAAAAAAAAATCACTTCAAGAACTTGCAGCATTCGGAATCCAGTATTTCTGATAAGTAATAAAATAAGCCTTTACATATTCAGAAAGTAAAATCATTATTATTATTTTAAATATAAAACAATTGCACTCCTTTGTACATTCATATAGCTGACAGTTAAAAAAAAATCAGATGAGCTCTACTTGCCAGCAGTCCAGAACAAGCCAACAAACAAAGGACTGTAAAAAATGCACGTATTTCATTATGAAACCAAATCCTTCCTCTCAATCTGCGAGAAAGCAACAATAATAAAAACACAACACCTGCCAGCCTATCTTCCATAAAATATTGTGCTATTTACAACATAAATAGTTTTTCATTTTTCACAGACTCCGGTCAAAAGTTTCCAGGACATTTATTTATTTATTTCGGCCTGCCTGAAGTACACAAATGTGTTTATTTTTTCTATTTGGATTATTAAATTCATAACTGTGGACAGATACTCTAGACTGAGGGTGAAACTAAAGAAATCCATTGGTACCTCATATAATGAAAGCAACCTTATTCTGGCAGAGGGTTTGTCTATGAAATCATGCAGGCAAAGAAGAATGTAGCTCCCGTCTTGCCCTTGTGTTACAGTTTGGCACTATGTGCATAGCTTGATAATATCTTAAAGCCCTGATTGTACCATGTTACCCATGTCTGTTACTCTTTCACATACAGGTACCCCTCTGCTCACTAAGTGCTTGTCCTTTTGTGTGTGTTCTGTATCTGACAATGCTTGAGTGTTTGTGTATGCTATAGATGGCATATATTCCTGTGTGTACCTCCCAGATGATTATTCATTTAATGGTTTATGAGCCTTAAAACAGGACTCATCGTGAAGCATACTAACAAACATCTTCTCATACATCTTGTGCGTGGAGGTGGTTCCTATGATGCGGCTAAACTTCTTCAGGCCTTTCAGCAGATGGCGTGGGGCCCCGTTGTTGCGCAGCACCCTCAGACTGTGAGACAGACCTTTGGCAAGATCCAGGTCATAGTTTGCCATCTTCCAGAGGTGAAGCAGCTGCAGGATGTACTGCTGGGGCAGACAAGTGGAGACCACGGCCCGGACATCCTCCAGCTTAACTTTGACCCCTGGCAGGCTGTCGGTGACCTTCAGGAGGTCCTCTAGGGTTAGGTTTTTTAGGCTGTTGCAGCGGGAGACTTTCTTCTCACAGAGGTTGACACCTGAAGTGACATGTCAAAAACATTACAACACTAATCCAGGACTTAAAGGTCCCCTATTATACTGTTTTTCATCAATATATTATAGGTCTCAGATATAAACAAAACATGTCTCTGAAATGTTTGGCTTGGAATACCAAACAGATCACCCATCGTAGCATCCCATAAACCCCTCTGTTTCAGGCCTTTGTCAAAGTGCTGATTCTGTGTCTGTTACTTTGGATGAAAATAAGGAGCCACACCCCACGCCCCTCTGAAAGATATTTGGTTAAAATAAACACAATAGGCGCTTTCACACCGAAGTACTTTTCCCCCCAGAACAAGGCCGATAAGGGTGGGGGGGGAGATTTGGTTTCACACCAAAAAGGATCTGGAGCTAGTCCCTAATTCGCGCAAACCTTTCACCCCCAGATAGTCCCTGCTAGAGAGGTAGTACTTTCCTGAGGAGGAAATGGTTCGTGGGTGTGTCGGCCACACTAACAATTTCTGATTGACTGGGCGAATTGCAAACCACGCCCCGTACAACTCCGAAAAGTTTTGGGAACCCAAAGCAGAAGAAGTGACGTCAGCGGCTTCATTTGTGATCTACTAGGACAGTTCGAGGGACTAAAGAGTTCGGGGGGAACACGTACCGGCTAAGTGCTTGCTGTGTAAGCGGCTATGGAGATTAAAGGAGCCCTTTTAATCTTTCTGGGGTTGTTCCCTATTCTGTAGTCTGTTATATAGGTTTGAGTGCATGTCAAGGGTCTGCAAAGGGATACACATACTAATACAAACCTGAAAATGAGCAATATCAACAATATCAACAATATCAACAATATCTTTTAACAGAATAATATATATAATATTATCACCGCTTTTGTTTTGAAATCACTTGCGTGAGTTTCGCCCCGCTCCAAGGACCATTAGACCATTTAGTAAGGTCCATCCATCCATCCATCTTCTCCCGCTTATCCGTGGTCGGGTCGCGGAGGTAGCAGTTCCAGCAGAGAGCCCCTAACGTTCCTTTCCCTGGCCACATCAACCAGCTCTGACTGGGGGGTCCCAAGGCGCTCCCAGGCCAGAGAAGAGATATAATCCCTCCATCTGGTCCTAGGTCTACCCCTCGGTCTCTTCCCAGCTGGACGTGCCTGGAACACCTAGGTGGCATCCTTACTAGGTGCCCGAACCACCTCAACTGGCTTCTTTCGACGCGAAGGAGGAGCGGTTCAACTCCGAGTCCCTCCCGGATGACTGAACTTCTTACCTTATCCCTAAGGGAGACACCAGCCACCCTGCGGAGAAAACCCATCTCGGCCGCTTGTACCCGCGATCTCGTTCTTTCGGTCATGACCGTGCAAAGGGATACAAAATATAAACCAGAAAATGTAAATATGTCCTCTTTAACTGTTGATTTAATTTATTTTTGTGATGTCCTGTGAAATAATTATGCAATAGGACACATTTATTCCCCTTAATTAATCTTTTTTGATCTCTACTAAACAAGACAAGGACAAAAAGGCCTTTCAGTGGGATTTGCATGGAGACAAATGAAAACACAGATTACAGAAACTACATTTGCTCTCTTATGTATGTGACACTAGTGAATAAGGACAACCAATTGCTTGCTTTTGCGTCGCCACGTGTGAATCTTGCCTCAATCCGCCTCTTTGCAATGACTGTTTATGTTATTGTGACGCACACAAACATCGCCTTGGGTCCACAGACACACTGTAACCCTTGTTTTAGGGTTAGGGTTGGTATTGTTGTTATTTATTGGTTTCCTTTTTACTTTCTTGAGTCATTTCGGCTTACAGATATTTAGTTATGAATTCCAAATCTGTATGCAATACAAAAATGACATCATCTTGTCGATGGAGTCGATGTTTCGCAACAAAAACAGTCTCTTTGTTCATTTCAAACCATTTTATTCTCCAAAATCAGCCTCATTTTTCACAAATGTAATGCTTTAGATCAGGGGTGTCCAAACTTTTTTCACCGAGGGCCACATACAGAAACATATATGAAGGGCTGGGCCACTCACTAGAGGTGAGGTATATTGACTCATAAGTTAATTTATATGTTAGCTAAATCAATCAAATGTAGGTAGATGATGCTTAATACTTGAATATGCTTTAAGAAAAACAACAGCCTATCCCAGCTCTCCAGAGGGTTTCATTTAATTTGTTAGCAGCTCATTCCTTAAAACAGGAGCCCCAGGTTGATTATCATAAGAGGAAATGGGAAGGGTTTATTTCAAGCGTGTTATGAAAATAAGTTATTGGGCTTTTTTCTTATCAACTTAGATTTGATAGAAAATGTTTTCAACTTTTATTGACTGAATTNATAGATAGATGGATAGATGGATAGATGGATGGATGGATAGATAGATAGATAGATGGATAGATGGATTGATAGATGGATGGATTGATAGATGGATAGATAGATAGATGGATAGATAGATGGATAGATGGATAGATGGATGGATGGATAGATAGATAATAGATAGATAGATGGATAGATGGATTAATAGATAAGTAGATAGATAGATAGATAGATGGATAGATGGATAGATAGATGGATAGATTGATGGATAGATAGATAGATA